AATTGACGATAGTCTAAGATAGGTAAGATGTCCCTGAGGCTGGGAAGCTGAAGATTTCAGCAACTGCCGAATCTTGGCAGATGCTCGATATCTCTTGGGTCTCACTGCGGAAGAATCAAAATGGACGCCTCATGTTGATGGATGGCAAGTGGCTGAACGACGCATTTCAAGCACCCTGACCAGGTCTTAAGCTCCTGTATCCACTAAGCACCAGCAATACAATAGTAGCTTCTTGAAGACATCATACACCGCCTCATAGAGACTATGCGGCACTTTCCATCCAAACAAATCCTTGGGTGTCCATGTTCACTCGGAGATTGACCATGATTCCATGTGCTCTTCCGGAGCCCTGTGGCTGCAGCGGACGGACCCCGTTGTGTCGGCTTTCGGGGTGTCTCAGTGTCGGGTCCTTGGAGCTGGTCAGGGAGGAAGGTACGGTAAGGGTCCCTTTCAAGAGACCTCTTTGGAAAGGGCCCTTGCCTGCCCAAACGATCTCCTCTCCTTTGAAGTCAAGAACTACTCCGAGAAAGCAACATCGCCTCCACCCTCACATGGGCGATGCTAGGTGGAGAGGGCTAGACCATTCCAACCATTCTAAGGCTCCAACGAGCCTAGTTCCAGATGGCAGTGTCTTCGTTTTCTGAAGAACAGGTCGGGCCGACGGGTGCGGCTCACCGCGGCGACCTCGCCGCTTTGCACAGGCGAGCTGAGAAAGACCCGCTGAATGCAGAGGAGCCTGGGACGGGACGGGGTGGGCCATGGTTGCAAACGTGTGCGTTGCACTGCTGGACTTAGATCCGTCAGATGGAGTTAGATCCGAGGACTTGAAGTCCAGGGATGCGGGGGTTGATGCTCCAAAGGTGAACACTAGCATTGCCTTGCCTTAACGCTATCACTTTCTGTTCAGTTCTTGAGTGCACGTCCTCTTCGTAGTTGTGGGGAGGCTTCGTGTGTCTGTATTGCGGCCTTTTCAAGCTGGGAGAGCCGGAGATTATTTTTCCAGGCTTTGGTTATTGCGGCACACATCTCTTGTGGGAGTAGTGATCTCCCTATATATATATATACATAATAGGGGATGGAATTTCTTCTCAGAATCGCGGGGGTCGGGACCCCGATAAGACGATTTTTTAGCCACTTTTTCTTGGCTCATATGGAGGTTGTAAAGTCCTGTCCTTCAAGATCCTCGATTTTATAGAGAATTGTTGTTTTTTACAAGTTTGATTCTATAGAGGCTTATAAGTATAGCGAAGGGATTCTGGATGTCTCAGGCATACTGATTCTATAGAGAATTAATAGCATGGTTTTGCATGTTAGGAACTGCAATTCTATAGAGACTGATGTTTTTTTTCAATGCATCCAGTTCAAAACTCGCCTGATTCCGAGAGTACGCAATTGGGATTGCTCAAACGAACCCTGGGGAATGGGTTCTTGGATGATCTTGGATGAGTCAGGATGACGCTAGCAAATTTGGAGCGTCCTAGCAAGTGAACGCTTTATATGAAACACTTTGGAACATCCTAATGCATCCTACCAACTGGCAAATCAATGCCTTCCAAGAAAGTTGCATTTTAATGTTTTTTTGAGACCCCTGTACCTTGATTCTATAGAGAACCAGGTTCTTACTACATTTTTTTGAGACCCATGTACCTTGATTCTATAGAGAACCAGGTTCTTACTACAACTCAAGCACACCTGTTCAGGAGTACCTTGGGACCTGCATTTTTATAGACAAAAACCATCAATATTCAATATTCACAACTTTCTATAGCTTTTGACAGACTGATGGCCCTCAATTCTATAGAGCTGAATCTTTGTTTTTAACTCTTTTCCTATGTTATCCTCAATTTTATAGGGTCAAAAAGTGACCCTCATTGGAGGGGGGTTGGTCCCAGCATTTTAGCACTATAAAATCGCTACCCCCGAGGTACCCACTTAATTCCAACCCCTATATATAAGTAGATCGAAAGGTCGATAACAACCAAACATGTATTGCAACTTCTAGCGATGGCCTTCATCCATCCTAATAGCAATGGCCTCCAACCTACTTGGGGACCCACCCTTTGTTCCAAAGAGATCTTTGCCTCTTGACTTCTATTTTCAATTTGGCCTCCTTAAGGTGCTGCTGATCTTCCCTTTTGGGGTCCAGCTTGGCTGCTGGATGTCTTTTTTGACCGAACTCGGCTTTGTTTGTTGGTTGGATGGTACTCCCCTGCGGATAGACATGGAGCCACAAAACCACTGGGTTGTGGAGGAATATTGTCTTTTGCGGGTCAATTCCCGCGGTCCTTGCTAGTCTGCGAGGGGATCTCTCCAAGGGTTTGGTCGCAAGGTAGCCGGTGCAACTATGTTTGCTCGGGTGCCGAGGGTGGGATTCAGGCTTTGGCAGCATGCAAAGTAAGGCTTTCCTTGCCAGAAATAGGACACACTTTCACCAGACCTTCATTCATTCCGGTGATGCATGGGTTCACACATTGCTCGCATTCTTTTGTATCCTTTTGAGCCACCTGGTGGTTTTGAGTTTTGAAGATTGCTTGCATGTCTCCTTCACCACTGCTGATGTCTTGATTGAGCTGCAGGCTGGTGTGGTTCAAACCAGGCTCTTTCCATCGAAATCTGTTTACTTTGTTGCTCTACTTGGCGGACATCTCTGTGTCCTGACGACAATCTTTTGACAAGTCATGAGGTACTCGACACGGTTTTTAATTCAGATGTTGGTACACAAGAGATGACTATTGTGTAAACAACTTTGTTTTCTAAGAGAAGCACAGAAGCATCAAATCTCATCTATCTGACATCGGACACATGTGGAGCTTTTGGTCTCTTGCCATCTCCCTTTGGAGCTTTGCATCCCAGGCGCACCGGTCTTTTGAGAGTCAACAGCACAAAGCATTTCTACTGTATTTATAAACCTACCTGAGAGGCAACGATTGCAGTTTTGCAAGGGTGGCACGACTCTGGGGAGGACTGCAAAGTTTCATATTCGCGTTGAAAGGTGGATGCATTGTCTTCTCATTGCCCCTCAGCAAGAGTCTTCCACTGAGGGTGATCGAAGTATCGAAGCTTCGCCAGGCACAGTTTCTTGGGCGCACCAGTGAAGCAACCTCGGAGCAAACAGAACTTCAGAGGTTGACGGAACTTGAGAAGCTACAAGAAGAGTTGAAGTACTGGAAGTTCCGCTATGGCGACCTTCTGGAAATGCACCTTGCTTGGGGTTTAGATTGTCTCACGTTCCTTCATCCGAGCGGTAAGTTACGTTGCCTAGAAACCGGGCGTTTAGCATCGAGGGGATATCGGTGTTGAACCACAGAGAGAAGAAGAAGAAGAAGGCGTTTGGCCCGCTTTGCCCGCTGCCTCCAACCTACTGTACTAGCAATGGCCTTCAACCTACTAGCGATGGCCTCCAACCTACAAGCAATGGCCTCCAACCTACCAGCAATGGCCTCCAACCTACTAGCAATGGCCTTCAACCTACCAGCGATGGCCTCCAACCCACTAGCAACGGCCTCCAACCTACTGGCAATGGCCTCCAACCTACTAGCAACGGCCTCCAATGGCCTCCAACCCACTAGCAACGGCCTCCAACCTACTGGCAATGGCCTGCAAGCTACTAGCGATGGCCTCCAACCTACTAGCGATGGCCTCCAACCTACT